ATATATAGGCTTGGATGGTTTGGCACCTTCAGGTAACAACTGAGTATTTCACAATCAATGTGCCGAAATTGGGAAGACTCAACCCTGATGTAGTCGATACCATCTCGCATAAATATCGCAATCCCCCCACCCCTTCGTTCGTTTCTGTCCATTCGGAGAATCTGGTAACCATTTAGAATAACTTCCGCATCTTCTATCTGCGCATTTAACCATGTTTCTGTTACAGCTATCAAGTTTACATTTTCCAGACGGATCGTGAGTTCAACTCTACAGTCGCCAGGAGAATTGCCCACACTTAAAGGAAGACAAGTCGACAATTCATGGGATACTGACCCTTGGGTGATAACACATTTAACCGATATTGCAAACGGTGCCGGCATAGAGAGCCCTGTACAGTCGCCTACAAACCTGCCACACTGGCCGCTGGTTTGCTAATGTCGACTGTTTGGTTGATGCTGTAATCTATGACGATTGATTCCTACACAAATTCAAAGTCTCAGAATAATAAGTAAGTTGTTTCGATTCCCTACCGGAGTTCATCTTCCTCACTCATGCGTACATTCGGGACTCGAAAATTCGTCTCCGTACGTGAAAAGCTCAAGCGCGATCGTTTCGGGCAAGAAGATGAGCATTCCCTGTCCGTTTGGCTTGTGCATGTCTGAACTGTGTGTTGGTATAGCATATTAGATTTACTTTCTGCTAATGGCATCCACCCCCTATTTAAAAATTTTAATTGCGATCATTTTACAAATGATCACGCATTGATTCATTGTGGTCTCCCAGCTTCCCCCTCTACAAAGCCAGTGATAAAACGTAACTAACTTGGTTTTGCTAATGTTAACGAGAGATTAATAAACAACGTTATGAATATTCCAGATCGAGATAATATTTTTTCAAAAAATAATCCGAACTCTTCCACGAGTTCATACAGTGTCCATAAGAAGGTACCATAGATTTCATTTCACTTAATATGTTTAATCTAAATAGTAATTATTCCACTGCCTTACGCTCCCCTGAAATCGGATGTAAAACTATGAAAGCAGCTTAGGGATCTTTTTACAAGTCCACTACCGGTTCACTTAAGAATAGTTGAAATACTTGAATTTTATTCACAAATGAGGCTCACAAGAGACAGGTGTAGTGACTCTTTAGCTAGTAATCGTGCAATTCTTGTCACATCTGTCGATCTGGTCTTTTATCTCTGATCGTCGGCTTAATCTTACCAGGCCATTGCGTTTTCGCCTATTTGCAGATGACTGGGATCCAGCATGACCGCTGAATTCATTCTTTGCCAGCCAACTTACCTTCGGAACCGATCTCATCTCCTCAGTTCATCCGTCATCTGATGCGTTCTTCGCCATTATCAAGTTCGCCCAACAAGTACTCGGATTCAGATAAGTCATTTTAAAAACAGTCACTCAGTTGGAACTGGCAACATCCCGAACTCTCTTATTTAACATCTAGGATATTTTCCTCCTCTGCTGAAAAATTATATTCTCAACCTTTTCCCGAGAATGTCTTCTTTCGTGATTATTGTGGGACTTTGATGATTATTTAAGTACTTAAATCTGGCTCTCGTTCTGATGTCAGTATTATTGGGATGTTCATAAAATGGAATCTCTCCGAAACTATCTAGAAACAATCGCCACAAAAATACTGGTTTTTCGCAAAGCAGTCCAGTTCCTAGCTATTCCCAGTATGGTGTTCACCAAATCGTTCTTATGAAACGTGTCACATGTTTTTTGAATCTGCTCAGTTTTTTCTTAGTGGTCATCTATCTGTGAAGGTTATCCAGAGCCTTTGATAAAATGTCATGTAGACGGCTCTTAATTGAACTGGAGGCTTTGGAAACTCGCAGACTTTTTATTAACTTTATTAAGTCATACTCACCTAATCGAGTACGAATGGTCTTGTTGTGTTCCCCACTTTCCAGTGAGAGCCCGATCGTAGACGATATCCGCCAAGGTATCGTGTTGGGTCCTCTTTTGTTCT